ATCCGGTTCCAACCTACCCACTTTATTGTTTCCAGGTTTTCCGGTTCTAGACCCACTTTATCCGGAACCGTACCCGGAACCGAATCGGAACCGGTACCTATATACCGGTCCGGTTTTGGACTCACTTTCATCCCTAGTCGGACCGAGGTAGTTCTAGAGACTATCGAACAAATTCAGTAGATCAGGCAGCGGTTGCAGACTGCTCAGAGTCGGCAGAAGAGTTATGTCGACCGACGTCGATCTTTGTTGGAGTTTCAGGTTGGCGACATGGTACTGTTGAAGGTCTCACCCTGGAATGGTGCGATTCACTTCAGAAGAGGGGGAAATTGGGTCCCCGATACATTGTACCTTTTCGGGTTATTACCAGAGTTGGTTATGTGGTATATCTACCGGATCTTCTAGAGGAGCTCCATCACATTCATAGCACTTTCCACGTTCTGCAGCTACAGAAGTGCATATTGGATGAGGATGTAACACCCTGAGATTCATGTATTATTCTTTCATCCTTGTTCTTTGTGTTTGGCTATGTTTGGCCCTTGAGTGGACTTTTGTTGAGCAAGTGAGTACGTTGGGCGTACCATAGGGGTACGCTGCGCGTACTCAAGCGCTTAAAAATAATGCGTCTTCGCCAAGGTACGCTGGGCGTACCAAGGGTTACGTCGGGCGTACCCGGCCCAGGTGCAAAACCCTAATTTTGTGTTGTGCATTATTTAAAGGATGCTAAGGCTCATTCTCAGCCTCCATATCAGTGAGTAAAACCCTAAGTGAGAGCCTTCCATCGTCCTTAGTGTGTGTGTGTGTGTGTGTTCTTGGAGCTAATAGTGCCTTGGTGTGTCAGTGAAGAAGGAAGAAAGGAGCTTCTGGAGACTAAAAGCTTGAAGTGCAAGTTTGCATCTGAGATCTACAGAGAAAGGAGCTGCATTTAGAGGTATAAAGTTCAAAACTTTCCTCTTCATTTTGATTTGATGTTGCATGTGCCATTTCTAGCGTTAAAAACCCTAAAGGTGGAGACTTTATGAGTGTAAGGTGCTCCATGGTCCGATATTTGTCCCTTTTCAGTGGTATTTGAGGTCTAGATCCATAAAGTTCCCATCTTGGTCGTTGATAGGAGGTCATGCTTGAGTTCTATGCTTTCTAGGGTTAGAGAATGATATGTTTTGGGTGCTAGTGACTTATTAAGCCATGCAAAGGCTTAAAGTCATCGACTTTATGGTTTAAGAGGATTAGAAATGGTTAGATCTAAAAGTTGGACATGGGTCTTAACCGTTTAAGACCTAAAGAGTGAAGGTGTTGAAGTTGGGAGTACGTCGGGCGTAATCCCAGTATGCGTCGCGTACTGGGTAGTGTCCCCCGATTCTGAGAGGCAGCTGGGTACACCCAACGTACACATCTGGTACTCGTAGCGTAACCCGAAAAGCTGACTTTTAGGGTATGGTCTATTGTGGGGCCTTTGAGATATGAGAGGGGTAAAATGGTCTTTTACCCTTCTGAGAGTATCATAAGAGGACATAGTCTAGCCTTTGAGAGTTATAATAATTAGGGTATTTATTTTGATTAGGCGGAGGTTAGACTAGCGTTACTGAGTCAGAGATTACCGAGATACCCGAGGTGAGTCTTCTCACTATACTTTACCTAGTGTGGTAACAGAGTTATGTGATAGAGTGTTTTAGAGTTATATGCCAGTGTAATTGCATGTAATTTATGTGCTATGATTTATTGTGTTATGTGCTATGTATGATTCAGAGTTACAGAGTTAGGACCTTCGGGTCCACAGAGTTAGGACTTTCGGGTCCACAAAGTTAGGGCCAGAGGGCCCATAGAGAGTTGGGGTTGGAGGGCCCCACTGAGACACATAGACCTGAGGGTCAACAGAGTTACAGCCTCGAGTGGCTATTATGTGTTAGAGTGATATTTTGGGGAAACTCACTAAGCATTATGCTTACAGTGTTATGTGTTATTTGTTTCAGGTACCAGTGATGATCGTGGGAAGGCGCCGGCATGATTCGTACACACGCACATCGGAGTTTTTATATATACTTTGATCTTGGGTTTTGTACTAATACAATGTTTTATTTATGATTTCAAATGATATTTTATGGGTTACAAAAGTGGAAAATTGTTCAAATTTTTACGGTGTTACAGAGGATGTGGTAGTGTCATTGGACGACATTCAAGTCGATGAACGACTGAATTATGTTGAGCATCATGTGGCTGTATTGGAGAGGAAGATAAAGGTTATGCGCAATAAGGAGGTACCTCTGGTAAAGGTATAATGGTAGCATCATAAGGGATCCGAGTGGACTTGGGAGCTGAATTCTGAGATGTGGGAGCATTATCCAGATCTATTTGGTACAACAGACTTTGAGGATGAAGTATAGATCAAGTAGGGAAGAGTTGTAACATCCTGATATTTACAAGTACTTTTGAATCCTCTTTTTTATTATTATATTGTCATTTGTAGTCCCTAGGGTGGAAAAGTGAAGCCATGAGAAGCCTAAGGGCTAAAGTTGCAACTTTAGGATCAAAAGAGTACGCTAAGCGTACATAAGGTACGCTGAGCGTACTAGGCGCACCCCATTGGGCTTCGGGATTGGGCTGCCTTTGGATCAGTTTGAGTTGGGACTTGCTGGACTTTCTGAATAGGTGTATTTTGGGTCAGTTTTTGTAATGGATCTTAAAATGAGGCCCAATTAGGTAGTTGGGCCTAATTGGGAAAATTGGTCCAATGATAGGCCCTGTATATGTGGACTTTTGGATCATGGATTTAGTATTTTAGTATTGGGCCTTGGCCCAAATTAGAGAAAAGATAAAACGGACTATTAACCTATGTGGGACCCTTGGTTAAGATTGATATCCTCATTGTTGACTTAGTATTCGTTATTTTGGATAGTTTGGGATTTTTGGTGAGATAGCATTTGGAGACTTTAAGTCCAGTTCATCACTACTTGTGAGGTGAGTTTTCCTCACTATGCTCAAGGGTCAAAGGTACCAAGGCTGACACTTTGGATTGTTATCCTGCTTTATTGTTAGTGTGATCAATTAGATTGATATCCTCGTAGATAGAATGGTTCTATGTGGTTATGATCAGTTAGATCGGTTCCTGATAGATAGGATGTTGCTATGCTTAGTGATATGTCGATCGGTTTGTCTGTCTGTAGACTGTTATATGATTATCTGATATATATGCACATGATTGATTGGTGGTTGAGGCTTATCTACTTTGTGCGAGGTCCAATAGACCAGGGAATTCCAAATCGATGGTTATGGGCCGAGAGTATTCCATCCCGAGGATGATTGGACTCATAGTATGTGAGCATTCCAACCCGATGGTTGTGGGCTGAGGGTATACGTTCCCGAGGGTGATTGGACCCATAGTATGTTGGCATTCCAACCCGATGGTTGAGGGCATAGGGCATTCCAACCTGATGGTTGATTGGGCCCATAGTATGCTGTTGTTATATGTGTGTTATTTGTTGTGTGGGTATTTTGGGCGAACTCACTATGCTTTGGGCTTACAATTTGGATTTTGTTTCAGGTACTTCAGATGATCGCAGGAAGGCGAAGTCGTGCCCGTAAACTTCCTCGTTTTATGATTGTGATGTCTAAGAAAACTCTGATATTGATTTATTTTGAAAACAATTTGTGAACATTACTTGTTGTGGATGATTTTGCAAACAATTTATGAACTGGGGTCGATTTTGAAAAGTTAATTTTTTTTTTGAGTTTTTATGGTTGTTACACAACTCCACTTCAAGAAAACTTGAACCACATCCCAATGACTCCAATGACCAAAAATAGGATCAAACACTTATCAGTTCCCAGGTAAGACTTCGTCAGACTGTTTTTCTTCTTCACCTCTATCAACTCCTTGTCGAAAGCTTCCTTCCTAGCTTCCTTTTCTTTTTCAAACTTAACCAATTTATTCTGTGAATTGGCTACCTTACTATGGTCTTCCTTTCTTTGTAACTCAAACCCCATCTTATGAAGCTAGTCATTCTAATACCCCTTCTCCAGTTCATCATCTTTCCACTAATTTTTTTTTTAATATTTTAGACATTTAGCTAACTGATTACAAATGAACAAAATTAGGATTATGATTAAGAAAAGTGTGTACATTTTCCAGCTACTGATAGCTAATAGAGTATAAGTAAAGAAAAGGAATACTCACCATGGAATTTTTGCAGTTCCAAAACCCTCAGGCTACATTATCATCAGTACACGAAGTCCTTTCCATGCTGATCCCATCCTTACAACCACATAGGGGACATACTGCATCATTTTCATGGTGTCGAGGACGAAGACTATTTACTGATCGAGCAGAAGAGGCAAACATGGATTTGATTTTAATGATAGAGAATGGGTATCAGGAGGGAGGGAATGACCTAATTTAGGGTAACAACGTATCACTCTTGGTTCGATAGAGGGTACCAATAAGAAAGGTATGGCACCATATCCAGTAACATGGTAAGGTATAAGTCCACATATGTGAAGACACGTCAATGTGTAACCTGTTACCCTGATACAAATTCCAAAAAGTGTGTAATTAGTCGCTATTTTCTTACGATAAGGACTAACTGAGCATAAAACATACATGAGTGACTAATTGTGCAAAGTCACCAAACTTCGTTGTACTACAGTGCCAAAAAGTGGTTTTTGGCACTGTAACATGATGAACTTTAGTGACTTTGAACATTTAGTCACTCGTGTATGTTTTGTGCTCAATTAGTCCTTATCTTTAGTAAATACTGACTAATTACACCCTTGGGAACTTGGATAAGGGAACAACCGATTGTCTTACTTACGTAGCTTTAAAATAAATAAAATATTTACCTTACCTTATCCACGTAATAAATCAAAGTCAAAATAGTCACATTTATTCATACACTAGTACACTCCTTCGTTCTTCATTTTTCTAATCTACCAGTGCCCAACAAAAAAAAAAAAAAGGGTTCCACGCATTTTCCTTCGATTGAACTCAATGATCAGGAAACCAACCGATAATGTCAACCTCGATGCGAAACCCTGATGGACTCTACCCTATAGTGGAGCTCAACTTCAAAGGTGTTTTTCTTCGAGATCCTTTCTTGTATAACCATGGTATCAAATTGACATTTAAAGATCATGATTTTCCTTTCTCGAACGGTTCATGCAAGAAAGTATCAAGAGCTATACTACTGTGAGCCATGTAAGCCGTTATTATCTGGGATAACTACTATTTGTAAAGATGGAGATTATGCTACTTCCATTTTTAATTCTTTTGGAGCTGATGGTTTTATTTCACTATATGTGTACTATGACGATCAAGTAATAGAGGATTGGTTTGGCTCTGAGAAGAAGAAGAAGAAGAAGAAGTAGTAGTAGTAGTAGTAGTAGTAGATACTGACGATCCATGCATTGATGGCAGTGAAATTGAAAACGAAATTGATAATCTTAAAGATGTGGAGGTGGAATTTAATGTGGATATAGTCACTATAAACAAAACATAGGGTGATAAGTTTCAGAATAGATTATGTGCTGAAGAGGAAGATGGAAATGATAACATCATAGATGATGATGGGGGTGAAGAGGAGGAAAATGTAACTCAACAACATTCGATTTTTAATGAGTCAACTCCATGAAAAAAAATAGTACCTTATAGTTGGTATGGGATACAAAGATCGAATTCAATTAAAATCTATGTTATGCAACAATGCTGTTGCCAATGGGTACCAACTTTGCTTTGAGAAAAATGATAGAAAAAGACTGTTGGTTAAGTGTTGTAAGGGTGGGTGCACATTCAGGTTGTGGTCATCTTGGATGAGTGATGAGGCAAGCTTCCAAATCAAGTCTTTAAAGCCAGATCACAAATGTGCAAGAAACTAAAAGTTAAGCTTAATGGTTACTTATGTTTGGAAAGAGAATAATTCTACAAGAGAGTTCTTACATAGACAAAAGATGAGTGTAAGAAAGCTTAGAATAACTATGTTATAGAGGTTTGGTATTCATGTAAGTGTTGGTCAATTCAGGAGAGTTAAGAAATATGCACTGCAACTTGTAGATGGTATCCTTGTTGAACATTACACAAAGTTATGGTCATATGCAGAAGAAATTAGGAGATCAAATCCAGGTAGCACTGTGAAGTTTGATGTGAATTGTATGCTAGATGGAAAGATCTACTTTAGGAAGTTCTATGTTTGCTTTAATGCATTGAAGAAGGGGTGGAAGGAAGGATGTAGGAAGATAATACGTTTAGATGGTTGTTTTCTTAAGGGGATATGTAAAGGGTAGTTGTTATGTGCTGTTGCAAGGGATGCAAACAATGGAATTTATCACATTGCATGGGCTGTAGTATGTAGAATAAGGAAAACTGGAAGTGGTTTTTGGATCTACTTATTGATGATTTGGAACTTAATTTAGGATATGGATACAGTGTCATATCTGATCAACACAAGGTAGTTTACTTCTTTATCATTTATTTCCAATTCTAGTTGCATAATTATTTTGATATAATTTACAATTTTATCAGGTTCTGATTGAGGTTGTCAAAGAACTCCTTCCTTATGTAGAGCATAGGCAACGTGCTAAGCGTTTTAGCCAAAAATTGAGAAAAAGGCATCGTGGTGCCCAATATGAAAACATATTCTGGAAGGCTTGTAAAGCAACAACTAAGCTAGATTTTAAGATTTCCATGAAAGAACTTGAAGATCTAGACCCAAGTACTCATAAGTATCTGATGGTCAAAGACCCCAAAACATGGTCAAGAGCCTACTATGAAACTGGTAGATGTTATGATGCTATGGTGAATAGGATGTATGAAAGTTTCAATGTAGTGATTATTGATGCTAGGAAGAAGCCAATTATCACCATGTTGGAGGAGTTGAGGTTCTATATGATGGGTAAAGTGTTCAACATGAAAGCCAAGGGAAAAGGATGAGGTAATCAAATTTGCGCAATAATTAGAGGGTTATTGAATGATGTTAAGAAATTCTAAAGACATTACCAAGTATTAGTAAGTGGGTTAAATCAGTGTGAAGTAAGAGGAACTAGGGATGGTTATGAGGTAGATCTTGAAAAGAAAACTTTCTCATGCAGGATATGGCAACTCAATGGAATTGGTTGTGTTCATTCTATTGCAACAATTAGTTTTATGAATAGGGATGTGGAGTCTTATGTTGATAAATTTTTTAGTAACATTAACTACATGAAATCATACAAGTATAGGTTAGCACTTATGAATGGAAGTAAGTTGTGGCCAACATCTTTGTAGACACCACCTTTACTTCTTGTTCAAAGAAAAATGTCTGGGAGAACTGCAACTAAGAGGAAAATAGATGCAACAGAAAACTAGTCAAATAACAAACCAAAGAAGAGTACCCAAACACAAGCCAATGATCTGCAGTAGAGGGTATCCAAGGTTCGGAAGAAACAAAAATGTAGGCTTTGTAAGGTTGAAGGACACAACAAAAGGGCTTGTCCTGCAGGTGGAAGGCCTGCTAAAATCAAAGACAGAAGAAAAAAACAAATATATAATTAATTACATTATGTGTTGTGGTTATTATTATTGTTATTATTTTTATAATGTTCTATCACATAGGTGAATGAGGGTGGTGTTGAAGGAGGTCATAATGATGGTGGTGAAGGAGGTTATAAGAATAGTTGTGAAGGAGGTCATAATGATAAACAATATGATGATGAGGTAGAACTCACACTTATAGATTTTGATGCTTCTAGTAATGGAGATGTAGTTAATGGTATTGATGATGCAACCAATGGTGTTGATGCTTACAATGTTAATATTAATGAGGTGCGAGTGCAAAATGAAGTGATGGAAGGACTAATTCAATCCCTTTTGAATAAAATCTGAAGCAAAAAGTTTGAAAGGATTATCAAGTTGAACCTGGCCAAAAGAGTTGGTGATGAAGATGCACCTGGGAATTCAAGATCAAAAGCTCTTGCTATAGATTAAGATGCACTTTAGTTGTTATTGATGTTAATCTAGAACTTGGTTGTTTGTATGAACTATATTATGTGAACTTGATTGTATGTTAGTAAGTTGGTTGTTATTTTTAGTTATTTGTTGTGTTTTTATGAAGTTGGTTGTTTGTTATTAAGTTGCGTGCATGGCAAGGGAATATGAGGTTAAAATGCATTGCAAAGAACTGAATTCAATTATAAATGTCGACCACATGGTGCACACAAGGGACCATCATTGCACATAACTCAATTCAATTTAAAATGGACCAAGTGTGCTCCATATGCCTGACAATGTGGTTGCCTCAATTCAATTTTAAATGGACCACATACATATCATTAAGTACATACATGGATATAAGTCTTTCAACCGTTACCATTTCCATTCATTCATTCATAGGATCTTTCATACATACACATACAAAACCCAAAAAAGTACTGCCATCCAAAATCTCTATCTACCTTACATTCACATATACTGATCATGTACCCATCCATCCAAAACCCAAAAAAACTTTCTACTTTGATGACCATCTACACATACACTACACAAAAGACTAATTGGAATTATAAAGTATCAACCATTAACCATCATCAACCATCAGCTGCACTTCAAGCACACTTCAACCACATCCCAATGAGTCCAATGACCAAGAATAGGATCAAGCACTTAGCAGTTCCCACGTAACACTTCATCAGACTATTTTTATTCTTCACCTCCATCAATTCCATGTCGAAATCTTCCTTCTCAGCTCCCCTTTTGTTTTGTCAACTTAACGATTTCTTACGTGCCTTGGCAACCTCACTGTGGTCTTCCTTTCTTCGTAAATTAAACCTCATCTTATGAAACTGGCCTTTGTAATACCCCTCCTCTGGTTCATCGTCTTTCCACATAAAAAATTTACATTTTGGACCTTCAGCTAACTGATTGAAAAGGAAGAACAAAATTAGGGTTATGATTAGCGAAAATGTGTACATTTTCCAGCTACCGGTAACAAATAGAGTGTAAGTAAAGTAAAGGAATAATCACCATGGAATTTTTGCAGTTCCAAAACCTTGTAGTACATTATCATCAGTACACAAAGATCTTTCCATGTTGATCCCATCCTTACAACCACATGGGGGACATGATGCATCATCGTCATGGTGTCGAGGACGAAGACTATTGACTACTCGAGCAGAAGAGGCAGACATGGCTTTGATTTTAACGATGGAGAATGGGTATCGGGAGGTAGGGAATGACCTAATTTAGGGTAATAATGTATCACTCCTGGTTTGATATAGGGTACCATTTAAGGAAGGTATGACACCGTATCCATTGACGTGGTAAGGTATAAGTTGACATATGTGAAGACAAGTAATCGTGTAACCTGTTAACCGGATACAATTTCCCCCAATGGTGTAATTAGCTGATATTTCCTAAAGATAAGGACTAATTGAGTATAAAACATACATGAGTGACTAAATGTGCAAAGTCACCAAACTTCGTTGTGCTACAGTGCTAAAAAGAAATATTATTACGAGATCCAGCCAAACAGGTGGGAATAAAGAAAATTGGATGTCATCAGGAAAGGCTCATAGAAAAAAGGTAAAATGTAGAAAATATGTATCTTATGATATTTTATAGATTAATCATTTGACTACTTGATCACATTGTCGTACTTCATAACGATATAAAAATATATTTTAACTCATTACATAGTTTCAAAAAATGTTACATTTATAGATAAAACACAACGTATCTTTAAAAATTATTAATTTAACTATTAAAATATATTTTATTGATCCGGTCACCAATAATAGAAAAATACCAATTCAATAGATAAATTGATAACCAGTGAAAATATATTGTATTTTAACTTATTATAAACAAAGATTTTTTTTATTGTACCCAAGGAGATCAATTACTTTAGACTTTTTTTTACAAATCTTCAAAAATGTCTATGGGATTTTCTAAAAAAATGGATTTCAATTCTTAACTTTTTAGGTCATCAATGATAGTCTTTGTAGTTTAAATATTTTTAATGGTTGATCATTTTAGGTGACTCCATCAAATTTTTGTCTATTATGTGAGGGTAAAATCGTTTTTTTATACAACAGGGTCCATTATTGAAGTTTTGTCTAAATTATATTTATTAAATGATTTATAATTCAATCTTTGTTCTTGGTCTCTTTTATGATCATATTCATTTGGTTAGTCGATCTGTAACGTCCTATTTTTACAACACTGTTTTTCTTCATTTTTAGTTAAGATTAAACACCATTTTCGTAAAGCCAAAGTGAGGAAATCACTTTTATTTAAAATAGAATTTATATGGAAATCAGAGTATCATAATAAATGCAGAACACTAATGTTGTTGATGAGTTTGTATAGTAACGTCTTCGCCTTCTCATGATCATCAGAGTACATGAAAACATTTAATCCACAACTGTAAGTCAACACTTAGTGAGTTCCCCAAATACCCGACAACAAAATATACATATAAGCATACACACATCGACCTTCAGCCCGCGACTAGTCTGCCTCCCACGCCTACAACATAAAGTTGGTCCACCCCTAGCCTTCAACATAAGTTGGTCTGCCATAGTATCTTGGCACACCGCATACAATAGGACCGCCTCAACTTTCTACAAGATACATCGATATATAGATAAACCATAAAAAACAACACATGCAACTGTCTAAACTAGTCTACATTCCTAACATGCTCACATCATACAAAGAACCAATACTACGCTATACGCTACAACTAGAAAATCACCAATTAAATGCATAGTTGTATGTAATCAAAGATAAGATAGACAGTCAAACAGATGACCCTACTATAAAGCCACAGCCAAATAAGGAACATGTATGGAAGCATAGGTCAAGAGTTCTCATGATATCTTACGTGAATACATACAACCCTTACGACATCCACTACAATGATCAGCAACCCTAACATTACTCTAACCAAACTACCGCAGTCTAACCATATCCTAGAACCCTAGGATATATATTGAAATATATAGTATAGTGAGGAAAAACACCTAAATCGAAACACCAGATAAGCACATCAACACTCTCAAATCGTCGCATTAATCAGACCCGTGAACTGACTATCATCGAATAAAGATCAAACCTCAATCAACATGCCAAATCCTTCAAGTTTGACCCAAGGTGAAACCTGTTAAAGTCAACAATCAACGGTTAACAAAAGTCAGTGGTTAACAAGGCCACCATGTCGTGGAAAGCCCTTAACCAGGATGTGGTTAAGTCTGGACAAATAAGTCGAATTACAACGTGCGACCACGTCGTGGAAAACCCTTGGCCATGCCGTGGTTTTAGTCAGGATGCCATTTCTCCATTAAGAGCTTAATCCTTTAAGATCATGGTTCATAACTTCATATATGGTTCTTCTCATTGACATAATGGATAAAGTTTCCAACTTTATCCAATAAGACATGACCATAAAGCTAGATCTTGAACCTTAAGTCCATTAAGCTTTCTAAAGGATAAGACTTTGTGAATGGGTCCAAGAGAACCTAATCAAGGGCCTTTTATCACTTAGCAGAAGTCAAAAAGCCTATAATATGTCATAACAAGCTTTGGAGTTCCTGAACTCCAAGAACATCCACAAAGGGACCAAAAACCAACCATTACGATCTTAGAACTTGCATCTAAAAGAAAAAAGGTCAAGGTATGGACTTTATACATCAAATAACTCATAAATTTGAAGAAGATGATGGATCTAAGCTAGCTCCTTGCTTCCTTGCAACAATATGGAGTCCCTTCTACCTTAATCTTCACCAAAAACAAAAGAACAAGCTCTCAATCAAGCAAACAAGCTCACAAACATGCATGGAGGCTATGATTTCAGGTTGGGGGATGGACATTGAGAGTAAGACCTAATCCATAAGCTTAAGCCTTTAAATATGGTAGAAACCCAAATTGCATGGGTATGAGATGCAAGGTTCAGCACGCCATGGTAGCCATTTAGGCATGTTTCTCCTTTAAGTGATATGCCACGTCATGGTCAGTAGCCTACCACGCCATGGCATGCTTGGGCCAACAAGCCTAAATTCCAAATTAAACTCAACTTCACTCTAAGCCCAAACTCTTAACTCTAAGTCCAAGAACCTTATAACTTAAGGTCAAAACTCAATCCTTAGAGACCCTGGGCCTTTACTAGATCAATTACTGCCCGATCCTTCTATTGGATTAGATGTCTAAGCTCGTAACTATACTTGGTATATGCATGAATTAATAATAACACAGTCATTTTGGGTTGTCATCAAACATAGTAATTGGACATGATGACTTTTAGAGAGAGATTAATTTATTATGTGATTAATAAATTAAGATAACTAGTTTATTAATATATTATGAAAATAATACATTAATTAGAAAAGCTATTATTTAATTAATAATTGATTAGAAATTAATTGGAATTAATTTTGGGATTAATATAATTAATTAAAAGTGTAGGGTTTTAAGTGAAATTGTTCAATAGCTGGACAAAATGGCTCCAGAACCTTCCAACCATAGGGATGGACGATTTTGGGAGGATATTCTAGGGTTTCTAGAATATCCCATGTGGATAAATAAGGAATGAGATAAATACCAAATTTGAAATATTAATTTAATATTCAAATCAGGGTCATATAGGGTTTCCTTGGACCACTATATAAAGACCTCTAAACCTTGCATTTTCAGCCACTCATACCTCCAGAGAGATAGCCAAAATTCTCCCCTATCGTGCACATCTCTCTAAAGTCTTCCTTCCTGCTAGTTTGGGTGTGAGCTATTAGAGTCACGGAAATTATGGTGCTTGCTTCCAAAAGATCTACAAGTGAATGATTCTTGTTATTTGCTACAATAACAACAAGGTATGTAAACATAAACCCTATTAT